CCCACCCAGCCTGAGGTTGTTTTCTTCGCAGATGATAAACATTTGAGCTGGATACTTGATCAGCCATCGCATCTTGTGTGTGCTCTGAGACAGTTTGGGAGCTTTATACGGCTCTTGCGCACGTTTGGATTACAGGTGAATCCTACGAAAAGCAACGCCATTATGTCATTACGCGGTTCCATGTCTCAGAGTTTGCGTAAGCTCTGGACTTCCACCTTTCGAGGTGGTGAATGGCTTCGTGTTCCCATTGGCCAGGACAATGAATTTATACCACTGGTCCAGCAACTGGACTATCTGGGTATAGTTCTCTCATACGGGGGCTTTGAGGAGCTGAGCTGGAGGCGACGCATAGGTGTTGCACGTGCTAGCTTTGAGCGTCTACGCAAGATTCTCTTGGGTCACCATGTATTGTCGCTATCACACAGAATCAAACTGTGGAAAACCATCGTGCTACCCTCAGCGACTTATGGTCTATTGGGTCTTGGATGGAGTTCCTCTGGCTTTGTCCGTATGCATGGCATGTGTATGAAGCAGCTTCGTTTGATTGCTCGATCTCCTGTACATCTCACCTCGGAAACGAACATGAACCTGATGCAAAGGCTGGGAATGCAGGACTTGGGCGCTCATTTTTTGAGTGTATGGCTTCAAAAGCCCTGGCATATCACATGCAATTGATGGATGATTTGCACTCTGAGGATGTCATGTGCAGGTCCTTATATGTATCGTGGTACAAACAGCTCTTGTCCGAAGTGCAAACCTACCGAGCATCGCCCTTGTCAGTGCCTGAGCACTTTCCTTCTGATCCTCACCATCAGTACGCCTGTGAATTTTGTGATCAAACCTTTGAAGATGTTCGAAGACTTCGTATTCATCAGAGAAAATCGCATCGTGATGATTTGCCTGAGGACTGGAACCGTAGTCAGATCACGCTTGAAACAGTGCGCATGCATGCAGCTGATGGTATGCCTACTTGTGCTTATTGTCTGTTTAAGTTTGCGAACTGGCGTAACCTATATGAGCATTTGCTACAATCTCGGTGCAAAATTTTGGCTACACACGCCACGTATGCAGCCCTACCTGCTGGTGAACCCGCCGTCCAGCCTTGGGTACGGAACTCGGAGCTTCTACAAGCTATTCGTATTTCTGGACTAGGAGTGTTGCGACGTTCCTCCTCCTCTCTTCAGGAACTTCAACATCATTGCTGCTTGTGCAGGCAGTGGTTTGTGCATCCGGATTATGCAGCTTCGCACTACAAGAAAACACATGGAGCATTATGGGAGGCCCTTGGGAATCGGGTTCGAGCTCTGGTCAGGCCCCTCAGTTTGAGTGCAGCTTGCTTATACTGTGGTAAAGTGCCCACAAGGAAGGCTAAGCACAGATGCCCAGTCCTTACACAGGCTTATTTTGCTCTTCTGGTGGATGGGCGACGAGCCGGGGATTGCCCCGCCGACGAGAGCCGAAACCAGTTACTTTCTGAGCCTCTTCCCCCGGCCCACCCAGATGCAGAAGGACCAGGCCGAGCCGATGGACACAAAGGACCAGCCAAAACGTGGGATATTCGAGGATCAGACGTATCCTTGGTTCGCACGCTGCACTGCGATCGCGTCTTCGTGGCGCAAACACAGGCGCCCCATCGCTGAGATGACGTTGTCCTGATGACTGGAGCTCGAAGTAGTCTGAGAGGGATCGTTGTTTCCCTTCTGACCTTTGCCCTGACCTTTGCTCTGCTTGCCCTTCTTGGTCTTGCCTTTCCCCGACGGTGTGGCCGTAGCTGCTTGCGGAAGCAGCTGTTGCTGTGGCGTCACAATACTGACCGGGGATGCTGTGGTCGATGACGGGGTTGGCAGGCCCGTTGCTGGTATCTTGACTGGTGGCTGCGAGGCAGAGGCTCGAACTCCCACAGGCTCCTTGGGACTGGCCGCCTCCTCGTGGGTCTCCCCCTTCATGGCCTTGGAAAGACTTTCCTCCCGACCGGAAGTGAGGACCGCTGGACCCGAATCGATAGTACCATCGCTGGCCAGAGTGTCAGCAGCTTGGAACCGCAAGAAGGACGAGGAGGGCACACAGGAGCATCCGCTTCGGATAGTCATGCTGTCGACCCTGCTGGAAGTGATGATCGAAAGAGCTCAAGCGGCGGTGGAGCCGACACGCTTGGAGGCCTCTGCCCAGGCGGGTCTCATCCTGAATCAGGGGGACGAACCCTTTTGGCCGTCTCTACGCTGGAACCCAGCCCGCCGAGTCGAGGAAATCGTGTCGAGCGAGGAAGCGAGACCCCTGGAGCATTCCAGACTGATGAGAAAGCTCAACCAGGTCCGGGATACGATCAATCCCGAGAACATATTGCGTTGCCACGGCTACCACTCCATCTCCGAGAACATGACGGGGGACACCTGGCGACTACTCCTGGAGATAGAGACTGTTGGCGAGGAAGCACAGAATCTTCATGCTTGGCTTCGGAGGATGATCAACTGCACAGCATGGAAGCTTATAGGCGGTCGATTTCGCCGCGAACGGCTGGGTCGCTCTCCGCTAGCCAATCGGCTGGCGGAGCTCCTGGGCTAGATGTTTCTGGTACAGCAGGCGCCCCACTTATCCTGCGTTCTCTTTCCAGCTATGTGGCCCCTACCATGGTACTATTCAACCCCCACAACTTGTGTTATGCCAATGCCGTGGCCATTGCTTTGAGTTGGCTGGGTTATATCATACAGAGCAATACCCTGGCAGGTGGCACTTGTTCTGGCTGTCTGAGCGTTGTGTATGGGGCTCGGAATCTTCAGCTTACAAATGCAATACCATGGCTTGCCGTGTTTGCTACCTGGCCTCAGGCGCACGAACAACACGACGCTGCTGAGTTTTGTGCTCATTTTTTGAGTCATGCCAAGCCTCCGGTCTTCTGTGGAGAATGGCATGCCCGACTCGCTCAAGGTACGGCTGTGCGGGTGGTTGACAAGGGCACGACGCTGCTTCCGTTGAAATTGGATAGATTGGAACAGACGCTTCAGTCTTGCTTGGATATGTGGGAGGGTCAAGCACATATACATGCCATGTCGTATTTT